CAATCCTCGGGAGTTCCTGCCAGCACACCTGCCCTTCGTTCCGCAATTCTCAGTTTGTTCATCTTGACTCGACCCAGCCTTTGTCCCATTCCTTTGCGCATTCGCCCTGCTGTCTCGACGCACGGGAAGATGGCATCCTTGGCGGCTATGTTACACATTACGCGCCTGCGCCAAGCATTGTTGAGCAGCGCAAAAGAAGTGGGAGAAGTCTTATCGAAGGCTTTGAGGGCTGATGAGGCCTCGAGGGTCTCACAGGTTGTTGCCTCTTTCCTAGACGGTCCACATGCCTCACCTGCAGAAGAGGTACCATTAACGGCAGCACCAGCAGACCACAGTTCTTCCCGTGTGTCTGTACCCACCGCCCACCCTGCCGCATCCAGCCATGTCTCTGAACAAAGAAAGGGGGCGTCTTTCAGCAATGCTTGTGACGGGCCTTCATTTGAGCGTGCAGCCTTCCCGAGCAACAGTTTTTCGGAGTTGTGCACTACGAAGACGGCCTCCAGAGAATTCGACAGTCGCTTGAATGAGTCGGAAGGCTGGTTCCTAACAGATATGATTTCCGGGTGCGAAGATGGGAGCCTGCATGCCCGCATGCTTCGAAGGGGCACCAACGGCAGTGCTGCCAGCAGCGTGAGCAGTAGAAGCAGCCGCAGTAGAGACCATGGAAGCATTGTAATGGTCTCATCAGTCGAGTCTCTGCTGTCCGAAGACAAAGATGATGATGTAGACAGCCTGAGTAGCGGTGGTTCGCCCAAGGATGAGGAGAGCAGTCGGTCACGACATAAACTCCCCATTTCGGTCTCTTCCGTGTATCCGTCAGCGGGTGAAATTTCAGGAGACGTTGTGGAAACCACTACTGATTTGGAGCAGCAGGCGGAGCAGGACAATGTTCCTCTTTTGTCAGAGTTGGAAAAACAGTGTGGCGATGAGGCGATATATCTCATCAACCGCAAACGCATTTGTGGTGGAGAGAAATTTTACATGATCGAGGCAGGGCATGGCTGGAGCGGCTACCAGTCGCTTGAGGTAAATACGAGCGAACGAATTCTGCGGTCGCTAGAGGAGTCAGCACTGACAGTAGTTAGCAGTAAATACTGCATGAATCTGGCTGGTATTTTCCTCATATATTTGACCGTGTTGGCTTTGTATTTGGTTCTCCGTAACGGCTGGTTCAGTGCGCACCACATATACATTCTAACTGCCGCTTGACATATGAGGCCTTGCCATTGTGTGGTCGTTGCAGGGTACGCACATAGTGCAAATGTTTGCCACTTTATTTGCATCGCAGTATCCGTTCTGCTCCACTGCGTGTTCTTATATGGCTTCACACTGTTTTTCCTGTAGACATGTATGCACATGCAGGCATCAACAATTACATATTTAGACAAATGTTAAAACACATCGATGGTTCAGAGACGTGTGGTGTGCACCGATACAAATGCAGCCGCTCGAAAATGTAGAGAACGCGGGGGGATACGCTTGACCAGGCACAGTACGTGGTGCGTCGGCTTTGTCCCTTCAGCATCTTCTGAGTTTCCTGAGGGAGACGGTGAAGGTTTTCGGCGTTGACCATCTGAGGACAACGAAATTTTTGCTGCCGGTCGAGGAAGCAGAGGGGTTTTTGGATAGATTGCGGGATATTGCGCCATATTCCTTGAATGATTTTGTCAGCGTCGCAAAAGCAGGTAAGGGCAAAATACAGCAGTCTCCACGCATTGTTGTAGGGAGCAGCGCATCTCGTTTCAGTCACCTGAAAGCAGTAACTCCGGTGGACGGCGTTTTTCGAGTGTACTTTTCGCTAAAATGGATACCAGTTTGTAGGGATTCGTCAACACGAATTTGGATGTATATGTGCGTGTTAATTACTTTTTTTCAGCCAGTTCTCCAGTTTTGATTGCACTTGCTGCACGTTTCTTCTTCGTCCAGCTGACAGAGGCAGCATTTGCTTGGGCCACGGCAACTGATGTCGCAGTAGTAACAGCTTCTGGGTCCGTTGGTGCTGCTGGTGCAGCAGCAGCGGTTGCGGGAGAAACTGCTGCCGCAGCAACGGGGGCAGCCAGCCTATGCAGTGCTTGTTCAACAGCAGTCGCAGTTATGCCGTGGGTGATTCTGGTCGGGGGTTGCGCCTACGGAGTATTTTGCGGTGTACGTAAACTACGTAGTATTAGGAGGGAATTTTTTCTCTGCCCAACTACGGACGTTGGGGAGACGGGACTGGAAGAGGGAATGCTCCAGGACATACTCCATGACCACTGCATCATCAAGTGGGGCCAACCAACGGGTGAATA